TTCCTGCAGCCGACAGCCCACCTCCACGTACGCCTGGGCCACACGCACCGACGACCATCCACTCAGTGGGCGCCATCTCCCGACCGCTAAAGTGCTGCACGGTGGAGCTGGATGGGGTCTGCCTCCCGCTGCTGCTGGATACGGGGGCCTCCAAGTCGCTCCTGAATGTTTCCACGGTCCGGTGTCTCTTTCCGCTCCGAACAGTCACCGCCGACGCTGAGGATCTGTACGGGTATGGACACTCTAAAATTGGAATGGCGGGCACAATCACCTTGGCTGTGCGTTACGGGACTAAGGCTCTCCCCGCATTCACCTTTCAAGTGTCTCACCAGGGGGCCAACCTCATGGGTTTTGATTTGTTTTGTGAGTTGGGTTTCACCCTTGTGGACAATTCTGGGGCCGCTATCTTGTCTGTCGGCTCGCCGTGGCATCAGCGCTGGCCTGCCCTATTCAGTGGTTTGGGCTGCCTCACCGCCTTTGACCACCAGCCCCTCCTCAAGCCTGAGGTACACCCGGTGATTCAGCCCATACGCCGCCTGCCTCTCGCCCTGCGCGACGACATCACCGCCGAGCTGCAAAAGCTCTTGGACGCGGACATCATCGAACGCATTGATGCTTCCCCGTGGATTTCAAACCTGGTGGTGGTGAAGAAGAAGTCAGGGGGCCTGCGCCCGTGCATCGACCTCAGGCCGGTGAACAAAGCCGTGATACCTGACAGGTATCCGCTGCCCACAGTGGAGGAGCTAGCCGCACAATTCTATGGCTCTTCCATGTTCACGAAACTAGACCTTCGTCAAAGCTACCTGCAGGTTCCGCTGCACCCTGACAGCCGCAACCTTACAGCTTTCGTGACTCATGTCGGAGTGTTTCGCTACACCCGCATGCCTTTTGGCCTCAGCTCGGCCCCCAGCTGTTTTCAAAAAATCATGTCGACCATCTTCGCCGGCATCCCGGGCGTGGTCGTCTTCCTGGACGACATAGTGGTTCATGGTGCTACACCAGCCGTTCATGACGAACGCCTGGCGAGGGTGCTGGAGGTCCTCGCCAGTCACAACCTCACACTCAATGGGGAAAAGTGCACCTTCGCTGTTCCAGCCATCGAGTTTGTGGGGTTCCACCTGACCGCCGACGGCCTCAGCCCGCTACACTCCAACGTAGAGGCGGTGCTGCGCCTGCCTGAGCCTGCCTGAGCCGTCCTGTCCGGCTCAGATCTCTTCGTTTCTGGGGATGACGGCCTACTACCTGCGCTTCCTTCCTCAGTACTCCTCGACCACCTCCCCACTACGCAAACTCCTGAAACAGGACGTGGTCTGGGAGTGAACCCCGGCCTGCTCTGCCGCTATTCGCCAGCTCAAGACGCAGCTCACCTCAACGCCGGTGCTCGCATTCTTTGACCTGACGAGCCCCACGTTCGTGCCCTGTGACGCATCCAATACGGCAATAGGGGCGGTGCTGTCCCAGATCCAGGGTGGCACAGAACGCCCGGTGGCGTTCGCCTCTCGGTCCCTCAACTCGGCCGAACAGAAATACTCAGTGGGGGAGCGGGAGGCATTGGCCTGCGTCTGGGCATGCGAGCGGTGGCACATGTACGTGTATGGGTGGCATTTTACGTTGCGTACTGACCATCAGGCTCTTACAGCCCTGCTTGCTACATCGGGGTCGGGGCACAAACCGCTGAGGATCTACTGCTGGTCAGAGAGACTCCTGCCGTATGACTTCACCACAGTGTTTACTACCGGCAGGGAGAATGTGGTGGCTGACCTGCTCTCCCGCGCCACCCCCATCCCAGCGCCCGGCGCGGGCCCGGACGCAACAGAGTCAGAGCTCATACTCATGCTCCACGCCCCGCTTTAGGCCGCGGTTTCCCTGGATGACCTTCGGCTCGCGTCGGAGGAGGACCCCACGCTCTCCCGGCTCCGCACTTACATCCGGGAGGGATGGCCTGCGAAGTTCCCAGAGGAGCTGGCGTCTTTTCATCGGGTCAAGGACGAGCTGACCTGCTGGAACGGTGTCTGCGTGGCCAGGGGCCTCCGAACGTTCGTTCCCATCGACCTCAGGTCCCGCGTATTGTCTATGGCATATGAGGGCCACCTGGGTATCGTGAAGGTAAAACAGCGCTGCAGGGATTTGGTGTGGTGGCCGGGCATAGATCGAGATATAGAGACAATGGTGAAGGAGTGCACGGCCTGCCTGGTCAGTGTCAAAACTGGCCCGCCACTCCCACCGCCCCTGCAGCCCTTGCAGTGGCCGCGCGCCTTGGGAGCACATGCAGATGGACATCTGTGGGGAGCTGCATGGCGTCCCGCACCACCAACGCTTCCTCCTGGTGGCCTACGACCTCCATTCGAGGTGGTCGCCACAGGGTCCGTAACGGCTCGGGTGGTCACAGACTTCCTCTCCTCTCTGTTTGCTCGGTGGGGCAGTCCTAACGCCATCACTACGGATAACGGCCCACAGTTTGTCTCCTCTGAGTTCGCCACCTTTGTGGAAGGGAGGGGGATTAAACACATCCGTACAGCTTTCTACCACCCGCAAGCAAATGGGTGGAAAGGTTCAACCAAACCCTAAAGAACGGGATCAGAGCACACCTGGCAGATGGTCTTCCGTTCTCAGCCGCGCTGCTTCGCACCTTGCTTCACTACCGGGCGACGCCACATTCAACTACCGGCAGCTCCCCAGCCCTCTTGATGATGGGCCGTGAGCTGCAGCTCCCTTTGGATCGGCTACGGGCCCCGGCGGCCGTCATGCCAACAGCCACACCCTGCCAGAGCGCCAGGGTTGCAGAGGCTCAGCGTCGTATGAAGCAGCGGTTCGACAAGAGACGGAGGGTGAGAGCGCCTCCCTTCACAGTGGGGGACTGGGTCAGGATTCACCGTCCTAACCGGGACCACAAGCTGCTATCCTTCTGGACGGCGCCGATGAAGGTCACCGCTCAACTGGGGTCAGCCACCTTTCGTCTGGCCGACGGATCACGGTGGCATGCAAGCCGGCTTCAGAAGGTGGCACCGCCCCCATCATGGACCCAGGGCCCAGGGAGGACGGGGACTTTGTTTGTCCTGATGATCAGTTGCAGGGTCCAGCCGGGTTCCCACCTGAGCCGGTTGAGCCAGTGGTTCGTTTTGAAGCTCATCCGGCCCGTGTCCGGGTCAGACCAAGATACTTGGAAGACTATATTGTGAGCTTGTGACTCTCAGGGGTAATGTTCAGAGCATAGTCTGTTGCGTGGCAGAATAATCCACATGGCTATGCTGGTGACTGGCAGTCTACCCAGTTCATCTAGAGTAGATAGCTAAAAGTTAATTGGGTTCCTTGTGGGGGGGGGTAAATGTTATGTATGTGTCACATCAGGTGTGACTGTGCCTTTAAGATGGCACCGGGAGTTTTGGGATGTGTGAACCGGATACAGTTGTGTTGTTGTGGTGTTGTCATGGGAGCGTATATAACAACGTGTTCAATAAACGGTCAACCTAAATGTCGTAGTCCATAGTCTTTTATATACAACAATAATGATATCCAGTGTTGTTAGAAGAAGGCTATTCAGATTATTTACCAATTAAAAAAACTAACTTTACAATGTGAAAATACTGCATAATAAAAGCTCCACAACGCTTCACTTAAGTAAAAGTAAATACACACAATCACACAAAAGTCTTGTGACCTTTTAATTATTTACTAGAGAATACAAGGAACTATGGTAGAAATGGAATTCATAAGATTATGTAATTATGTAAATATAAAATGTAAGGAAAATCACAGTAGTTTAAACATTGAGCAATCTTATTTAGTCCATAAGGTTGATTCAGCTTTTTAAAATATGTAATCTTGATGTTGGCTGCACTGAAAAAAATCTGTAGTGAAATGCCTCAACCACTACAGTCACCACCACCTTTCTCAAATATGGCTCAAAGCCACATTCATCAAAAGCAAACTACACTGAACAAAAATATAAACGCAACACTTTTGTTTTTGCTCCCATTTTTCATGAGATGAACTCAAAGATCTAAAACATTTTTTATATACACAAAATAACCATTTCTCTCAAATATTGTTCACAAATCTGAAAAAATCTGTGACAGTGAGCACTTCTCCTTTGCCGAGATAATCCATCCCACTTCACAGGTGTGGCATATCAAGATGCTGATTAGACAGCATGATTATTGCACAGGTGTACCTTAGGCTGGCCACAATAAAAGGCCACTCTGAAACGTGCATTTTTGCTTTATTGGAGGGGTCCGAAAATCAGGCAGTATCTGGTGTGAGGGGTAGGGTTAGGGTTCGGGTAATGTTGTGAATCGAGTGGCCCATGGTGGTGGTGGGGTTATGGTATGGGCAGGCGTATGTAATGGACGACAAACACAGGCCACTCGATTCACAACATTACCCTAACCCTACCCATCACACCAGATACTGCCTGGTTTTCGGACCCCCCCAATAAAGCAAAACTGCACGTTTCAGAGTGGCCTTTTATTGTGGCCAGCCTAAGGCACACCTGTGCAATAATCATGCTGTCTAATCAGCATCTTGATATGCCACACCTGTGAGGTGGGATGGATTATCTCGGCAAAGGAGAAGTGCTCACTATCACAGATTTTTTCAGATTTTTGAACAATATTTGAGAGAAATGGTTATTTTGTGTATATAGAAAATGTTTTCGATCTTTGAGTTCATCTCATAAAAAATGGGAGCAAAAACAAAAGTGTTGCATTTATATTTTTGTTCAGTGTAGTAACAATGACAAAGGACTTGTGCCATGTTGAGTTAATACTTTTTTTAATCGGTTGACAGCTACTGCAATAGAGTACTACTGCAAACAGCAGCATGTTTTTGTTTGAGGAAGTTGTAAACATGGGAATCTCTTTTCATTCCTACCATCCTATGACACAAACGTATAATAAACATGATATACATTAAAAACAGAGGTCATCTGCGTAATGTCTAAGGCAGAATGAGTGTCAAATGCTACAATACTGAATCTGTTGGAAGAATCAACTCATATCAAGATGACATCTGCTGTGAGCTTGTTTACATGCCATACATGACTGTGTGAATTTGTATCTGTTCTTTCATTATGTCTCTGTAGTATTTGGCAAAGAAACTTGGTTTCGACACCTTGTGGCTTGGTTATTTGCAAACCATGGTTGGTTTAATCCAGCTGTTGGGTGGTCCTATGTTTGGAAGGTAAGAAAACATATATATGTAATTCACCAGCACTTACTGTGATCTTGCACTTTCCTTGTTTTTCAGAGTTTTAATCTTCATGTTTTTCGCACTTATTGTAAGTCACTTTGGACAAAAGCGTCAGCTAAATTATATTTAATGTAATGTAATACATATTATGTCTTTTGCTATTAGCAACCTACAATGTTTTTGTCCAGATGAAAATGTGGGTGCTGTTGTTGATGGCAGGTTTGCAGATATCTTTGGTGCCCGGGCAGCTTTGTCCCTGTCTTGTTCTGCGACAATCGTTTTCTTTCTGCTGCTGGCCATCGCATCGAGTCCTGCCATGCTGTTCCTCCACAAAGTCCCCACAGTCTTCATGCATGTTCTACCTGGTGAGCACCACGCTTCTATATTCCTGCTCACTAAGCTTAACATTTTAAAATTCAAACATTTCTTAGAAACACAGGCTTTTAAGACTCTCTCTTCTGCCTTTGAGAAACATTCAATAACTGTCACTAATCATCTCTTAAGAAGTGTTGGTTATTCTATTTGTATTATAAGCTCAGTTAATTACATATTAACCACATACTCCTAATACATAAAAAAAGGATTCATAATATTCTTAAGTGATCTTAAAGAACATTTTGATATCAAGTGGTGATGTGAGTTACAACCAATGTGCAATATTGTTATTGAAATATTTAACCACATTTCTATGTTAAACTTTTTTCCATTTGCTTGTATGTCTTCATCCGTTGCCTGCAGCATCTCAGATGGTAGTTGCGGACCTTTCAGAACCTGATAAACGGGCAGACGCTTTATCCAAAATAGGTCTGTGTTATGGCATCGGAATGATTGCAGGATCCATGTTGGGCGGCCAGCTTAACACACGCTATGGGTGAGTCTCACTGTATGTGGTTTGCAGTGGCGAACCGTGTCCATCACAACTGGACCTTCTGTAGACACACACACCCCCCCCCCCCCTTCGCGGCATTATAATGTCCGTCTTTTCACTGAATTGTCGTCTTGAAAAGGGTACTCACAACAATTCCGCAACAACTTCATCTTCACCTGTTGCACTTGTCCTTTCAACGTGAAAAACAATTAAACGGCATGAATTGCTTCGTCTCATTCATCTAGATTCTCTGTCTCGAGCCAGTTAACTAGCGGGCCTTCTAGAGTACCCTGGAACCGAGGGAAACTCTGAAAGAATACGTCCATTGGCTACAAATCAATATATGATTGGTTGATCAAACTGTCAGTCCAAAGGTACGCTCTCATTCAGTGCAACGGCCAGGGCATTCTATCAAGGATATAGAATACCTTGGTGAAGGATATTCTACCCAGAGACCCAGAACAAGATCTGATTGGTTGCTTTCTTTTCTAACACAAAACCACTGAAATGCGTAGTGCATGGTCCGAGAAGGAAAAACAAATCAACGTAACACTGTAATATTACAGATCAACGACACAGATACGATTCTCATTTATTCATTTTATATACATTTTATTTATATAATTAAATATATATATATATATCCTTTATTTAACCAGGTAAAAGACTCATTGAGATTAAAATCTCTTTTCCAAGAGCGACCTGGCCAAGAAGGGCAGCATGTACAAAGTTACAACAGATAAAACACAGACATGACAGGCAGACAGATACAGCTGTAAAACACAAATAAAATGGCACATTAGCCAGTTAATATGCGAAGTAAAACAAACAATTAAAATCATTCAAAACTGGCAACATTTAAAACGATTTTAGGATATACGAGCACTCACATCTACCAATGGTGTCGTGTTCTCTGTCCTTTAAGATGGACCTGAATTCCCCCATAGTGATTCAATCTGAGAGTTTCAGCTCCTTCTGTACATTGTTCCAAGCTGTGGGGGCAGCATATCTAAAAGCTGTTTTACCCATTTGTTCTCACTGTAGGGACCAGCATCTGAATACAATCTTGGGAGCGCAGGCCATATAGACTTTCTCTTTGACACATATATGTTCAAATGTAGGAGGGAACCAACCCAAGCAGAGATTTATAAATAAAACCCAACCAATGGGAAAGTCTGCGAGCAGACAAAGATGGCCAATTAGCAGCAGCATATAAAGTGCAATGGTGTACTCGATATCCACATCCAGTGATAAATCGTAAGGCACAATGGTACACAGTATCCAAGCTCTTTAGGCATTGGTCAGAGGCATTCATGTATAGCAGGTCACCATAATCTAATACAGGTAAGAACGTTGCAGATATCAAATGTTTCCTTGTCTGAAAAGAGAAACAGGATTTATTCCTGTAAAAGAAACCTAATTTTATTTTTAGCTTTAAATACATTTTTTGTTTGTTTTATCTGAGTGTTCCAGGGTATTCTCTGATTACCTTGAAGGCCCTGACGGTTCGCCACTGGTGGTTTGTTGGAAAATCGGTCTACATTTTGTGATGTTTTTCAGGAAAGGGCAGGTTTGGTTATATCAGACGGTCGAGGTCAGCATTGTTTCTATACTGCAGGTGAAGCTCTTCTCTGCACTGCAATGTTTCCTAATGATTATATTAAAGGGGACCTATCATGCAAAATGCACTTTGTGATGTCTTTTATACATAAATATGTATGCGTCGGGGAACTCGCGCAGCGTCAGAAAAGAAAACTCTCTCTCTTTTCCTCCGTACCCAAATCTTTTAAAAACGGGTGTACAACGAGCGGATACAGATTTGCTGACGATCAAATCGGCAGCGGACCCACAGAAAGTTGCTATCAGAAACAGGGGCCCTTTCTCATTTCTCTAACTCCCCTCCTCGACTCCTATCCTCGAAACTTAGTCCCGCCCACAGAACATGCGAGCGGAGGAGCCGAGGAGGGGAACCGAGGAGAAAGGAGGGGAAGCAGCAGGCGGTTAGAGAAATGAGAACTCCTCTCCTCTGAGCGGTCATTTTAAAGAGACGTCCATTAATGATGACAGGAGGCACAGCAGCCCTCTGTCTGATGGACAGATGTGTTGATGACCACTTATGTATTTACTTTGATTCATTCACAGTGCGGTATAATGAGACAATAACAGGCTACAGATGCGGACACACACACACACACACACACACACACACACACACACACACACACACACACACACACACACACACATACATATTTATATAAATATATACAATTTCAGTCTCAAACAGAGCAATCTCATAATAACGCCCCCCCCCCCCCCCCCCCCCCCTCTCCCCTCTCTGGTCGCTACAATGAGGTAAATAAATTACGGGCCAAAAGTTGTATTTACAATTATTAAAAGTAAGCAGAGGACACCAAACCAAACCAAAACCAAACCTAACCAAACCTAACACCAAACCTGTCTGTCCGCTGCATACGTACACACTGTACCACAAACACGCACCTACAGTACAGCTCCTAAAGCATAATCAGGCTACAGCCGTTGTGTATTTTATTATGTGAAGCACTAAATAGTTTTAGAAAAATATGGACTCTTTGTTTGTAGATATCTACTAAACTAAAGCAATTAAAGAGAGTAGGCCTGTTATACTGAGTGATATATATATATTATACACACTGCTCTGCTTTCTGCACGGACCTCACAGCTGTTCTCACTGTAATCATCAAGTCGCGATGAGAGCAGTTAATAAAATAATATCCAGGGGATGCATGCAGAGCTGTCATTGGCTGAGATAAGTCCGGCCGTGCGTCACGACTCTTTGAAACATCTCTGTTCCTTGAAATGCATCCACGAAGAAGCCGTGGAGGACCGTGGAGGAACGGACCCATCAGTGTATCCTCGGTTATAGCTCCTCCAGAGAGCCTCCTCGACGCTCGATCCTCGGTCCTTGAAGTGCATTTAGAAAAATGAGATGTCCTTCAACATGGCGCGCTGAAATTCATTTCCGGGTCACTACCGGAGGACCGAGGAATCGAGGAGTGGAGGAGGGGGATTTGATGAAATGAGAAAGGGCCAATGTCTGACGTGTTTTGGACGTAATCTCGTTTTTGTTTACATTAGCAAGCCTCGCTAACACTCAGAGCTAACCTGTAGGCTACTGTAGAGTAGAGCACATGTGTTTAAAAAGCAGGAAATAAAACTCGGAAGAGAAAAAGCATTTGAGCTCCGTACTGTTTCAGAAATAATATTTGATGTGGTTTAGAACAGGATGGCGTTTTATCACAGCAGAATTTAACTTTATCTCCGTTTTTTTTTTGTTTTTTTTAAAGCTAAGGACCCAAAATCCGCGTTTCTCTAACAGGGCTTCAAAAGAGTGGTATGAGCTATGAGCAGTATGAGGCATGGCTACAATGGGTTAACTGTTTGGTATTTTAAGCAACAAACTTTGTATAGGTATGGCCCTACATTTTTTTCCAATATAGCATAAAAGGTCCACTTTAAGTTATACAATCATTGTCAGACCTATTATTATGATTGCTGCTAATGTTAATAAGGTAACTATTACTTTACACTCCTATGAGAATTAAAACATCCACAGTTGGAAAGTTATTGTCAAAAGGATTTTTTCCCCAAGCTATGAATATGTACTAGAGTCTAGACTATAGCTTAATTTTACTACTCTTTAATGTTGACCAAAGTTATCTGATTTGGAAATATTCTTTGCATAAATATATAATGAAGCACTAAAGTTAGGATGAGAAGCATGTTTCTAACTCCTGCTGTTCCCATGTTAAAGCTGCACTAATGGATATTTTGATATTGAAAGTATATTGAATTATTATAGTGTAAAAGGGGTTGTTGTCTTTAGTGAGGAGCCCATGAAGCTAATCTTTTTTTAACAACTTCATAAGTTAATAATATGTGAATGTGGTATTAACAGCTTTTTCTCTTGAACAATGTCGCCTAAAAGCAGTGTTGGGCAAGTTACTTCCAAAATGTAATATATTACATATTACTTATTACTCTCTTTTGAAAGTAATAAGTTACATTACAATATTACTGTCTCTGAAATGTAATGAGTTACACTACTTTAGTTACTTTTTAGTTACTTTCACCAAAATAACCGCAAAAGAATGGCTAGGTATTTTAAATGCTAAAATGTAGTTTAGTGCAGCTCATTATACATCCAGTGAACGGCGACGTGGTATAGCATAACAACTGTGTAGGCCATTAAGGCTACTAACAACTTGTATTACACAGCTTAGTTGAATACTGGATTCTGATTGTAAATTCGTAACATGTGACACGTTGTTAATACAGTACAGACCACTGTCAAGGACTATAATGAAGGTTGCTAAGGAGGATCAAGAAAGAGAAAGGAAAAGAGGTTAAAAGACGGAGCGCTGGACGTCAGATAAATCACCAGAAGAAGGCAGACAGGAAGTAAACAATAACAGGACACATAATGGGCTCTGTATTTAGTTTAGTATATGGCCATGTACAGGCCCGGTTCCAGAACAAAATGACTCAGGGTGCCTCTGAGATTACAGGGGGTGCAGCAGTAGTAGGTTTGCATGAGCAATAGTGGCTGGCAACAGCAATGAAAAGTAGCATTGATGGTCCCCAATGAACAGATTATGGCATTTGTTATGTTTTGAAACCAAGCAAGTGAGAACATTTCAAGTGAGTTAAAATCCTGAAATATTTCATATAGTCCAAAGTGGACTATGGCAAAGAAAAGCACAAAAGCTTCAAAGCTGTACTGATAAAACAAATGAGAACATATTGTAAATCAAGGCAAATATTATTTGAACCAGCTCATGGTTTGAAATGGCAAACATTGAAAAGCAAAAGTATTATTAAAACCATGTAGCCTACTAAATCATCACTTTGGTCCCATCATATACTCTGGGAAGAGAATATTTACTGTCCTTGAAAACTGGTAGGCCTACATCATCATGTGAGGTTGACTTTGTGACCTGGAGAACATTTCAGCTGCAACATTAGCTTGTTGATAAGCTTGGGATATGAGATAGTTTTGTAGCCATTCGTGGTGAAGGCATCTGTGCTATGCAGTGACACACATCTGTGGATAATCATTTATACAAAAATGGTTAAAGCAATCATCACTAAACGCCAGCAACACTGCATCTACTGCAGACAGTAGCAACAGATCCGATGGGGACATCACGTTACACTCCGTTGTGGACACTAGCTTACTCTCGCCTGACTCGCCGCCCTCAACCCCGGAGTAGCTACGCAGCCCCTCTGCGGCCCGCAGGTGCCAGGATACCACGGCAAAACAGAGCCTGCCCAGGTATATCTAAACAAGTACCCGCCTGTACAGTGGGGTTAGGCGGTCATTTTGCAGCTCGTGGTATACAAATAGACAATGGCTAGAATATTCATGTGAAAATAGTGCCATATTCTGCCATGCCTGTAGAAATGTTGGGTCAAAAATAATGCATACAAATGTGGAAGCACTTTGGAAATGATGCACGCGCAGCGGAGCAGGTCACGCGCAGCTGACACAATTTGTTGTTAGTATTTTTCGCTCCGTTCTCTTTTTTTAATAGAGGGTGCATAACATTCAACTGCCCCGAAGATCCCGACGCGAAGCCTGAAGGGTAAACACACCAGGTTTACTAATCTACCCGCACAATTTGTCTGGTGTCGGAATGTCTCGCTATGTTAGTACATTCTTAAAACACAAATCACCATTTAATTTCGGGTTAAAATGTGTTGTAACTGCGTTACTGAGCATTGTAACGGGTAATATATTACCCACATTTCATTAGTAATGCGTTACATTACTTCGTTACAGCAAAAAGTAATATATTACTGTAACTCCGTTACTTTCGTAACGCGTTACACCCAACACTGCCTAAAAGTAAACTATAATGACTTTAACTAAACATTATGGACAGAATAATATGATAATTTGCTTTGTAATGTACACATAATATTTAAGTGGGTATCATTTTAATAATTTTTTACAACATCTATGTCTATCTACATAACATTTCCATATTCTTGTCCGCCTCACACTTCTTTCATTTCTTTCCAGAGAGACGTTTACTGCATGTGTTGGTGCTGTGGGGAGTGCCTTCAGTTTAATGTTGGTTTTAAAGTTTATCCCAACAACTACCAAAGCTCAAGCTACAAGAACCAACAAAGACAGTAAGACACACTTCTGTTTGCTACACTTAATGTTCACAGCTTTTGATAATCTGTATAATGCTGATGATACGTTCAGGTTGATGGAAACAGGTTTTAGGAAGTAGCCTATTGGTGAGCAGGTTTCACTGTCCCACCAAAATCACATTAGTAGTAAAAACCTAACGTTATCGGCTTATAACAAACTACGTCATGGTTGCATGACTTTACATCACCGTCTCTAAGTTGAATTTGCACTACAGTTTGACTAATAAGCAAGCGGTGGTGGCGAAGTCAATAGGGAGTTTGCTTGGCAACTGGAAGGTCACCAGTTCAAGTCCCGGCAAGACCAAGTGCTACCGAGGTGTCTCTGAGCAAGGCACCGTTCCCTACACTGCTCCCCGGGCTCTGTTCAAAATGGCAGCACACTGCTCCTAACACTAGGATGGGTCAAATGCAGAGAAACAATTTCCCCACGCCCATTAATAAAGTATATCAAATCAAACTACAAAATAAAGTATTTCAACCTGTGGAATGCAGCCGCAGGTACCGCTTGTCATGTGACAAGAAACAACCAATTGCAGCCGAGAGATATCTTTACTTCCGTAAACGCGGCAAAGTGGTGGAGGTTAATTTAAATTGATTTCAGTGCGGGTCTATCGTTACCCCGACGTTAAGATCGGTCCAGTGTGTCACCCATTGCCATGTTCTGAGCCCTGCACCGCTGCTAAAATGTCTCACGATGTCAGACGCTGTCGGGTCTCAAGTGCCAGTGTCCGGAACACACACACAGCACACACAAACACACACACAAACAAACAAACACACCGAGTAGAGCAAAGCAGAGATAGAAACACCGTTTTCCATGGAAAACACTGCTGTCCCACGAAAACTATTTAAATACAACTTTAAAGAACAACACCCTGAATATGTTCAGATGGTTGCTTAGCAACATTAAGCGCGAACTGCCTCAGCGCCCATGAGAAGTAGCTGCACAAGACCTCGCGTTTACGATGCGGTAAAAACCGCTCTTGTGAAGGGCCCCTTGGCTTTAAACTATACATTTTAAATCTTGCAGAGACCCAGTGTTACTTTGTAGAGATCTACAGGGGAAATGGAGAGCTTGGCACCTGACGAAAACAATTTGCACAAGACAGGCCCCGTTTCAGCCTATCATCATTACGTCCTGTCATCCATCCTTCCCGATGCTCAACAGGAATTCCTCTGCATGCAGATGAAAAACAAAGCTTTGGAAAAGGAGAACGAGATCCTCAAGACGAAGGTTGAGTCTTTGATGACTGATTGTGAGCAGTTTAAAGCAGAGCGGCAAATAATCCACGATGTGATCAAAAACAGAGACCACCAGAGGAACCAGCTGTTGCACTGCAAAAATGAACTGTCTGCTTTGGGTAAGAAGATGGCCTTCCAGCAAACTGAACTGAAGAGAGAGCATAAACAAAATGAAACTGTCAAAGAAGAGCTGGAGTCAGTTAAAAAAGAGCTCCAGTCAGTGAAGCAGGGGACTTTCACCAAGAGGACAGAGCAGCAACACCTGAAGCAACAGCTGGACCAGGTGGTCAAAGAGAGAGACATTCTGAATGACGCTTTGCTGCGCTGCAAACTCGAATGCTCAGAGTTGCGTGAAAAGATTTGCTACCAGCAATCGAGCGCGAACAAGAAGGACCGTCAGTGCAAAAAGCAGATGAAGGAAATCCACTTCCTCAATCTAGAGAAGCAGACACTCGAGAAGGAGAGGTGCATCACTGAAAGCAATGCAGAGGAACAGAAGCAGGAGCTCCGAAAGTGTGAGGAAGATCTCCAGACACAGAAGGAGAAAATTCAAAGAGAGCAAAAAAATGCAGGAAAAGGGGAAAAAAATAGCCATAATACAAGAAAGTCCACGTAAAATAAAAAAACCAAGACAAAAGGTGCCTCACCCGAAGGTTCAGTCTTTACAGAAAGAGCTGCTCGCCCAGGCGGAGGAGCTGAGGGCCACGCAGAAGCTCTGTGAGGAGCTGAAGAAAAAAGTGATCGAGGTAGCTGTGCAGTTCGAGCAGTGCCAGGCGACGATCAGGGAACAGAAAGAGAAACTCAAGGCAGTAACAGCAGAGAGGAACATGTACAGAAGTTTGACTGAAACACTGGGGACTGAGTTAGTGAACATCAAGAAAGTGCAGCGCAGCGAAAAACAGCGGAATAAAGCGACCAAGAGGGCAAAGAAAGTCAAGGTGCCATCAGAGGAAAAGTCAAAGGGGTCCCGTCTCCCACCAACATCCAGTAAAGTCCAGATGCATTCCGATTTAAGGATTATGGGGAAACAACTTTAGAGTTTTTCCTTCTCCTCTTCTGAATAAACTGACATAACGCCATTCTGATGTAGCCTAGTTCTGTTTGTCTGTGTGAGGTACATTTGACAATCCTGTTTTGAATTTATTTGTAAAAAAAATACAATATATGAACTAAATAATAAAAATGAGAAATGATAATTCCAATTAAACAAAGCTGTACATCTTCAACGTAATACTTTGCCTTTCATTAATTACTAATAACTTGTGTATTGTTTGAAGGAAAAGACAAATATACATTGTGATTTTGGGTTACACTGATGTGTTACATTGGTTATTAGTGGTCTCGTTTGATGATGGGGAAAAGCAAAATAAGTATGCTACAAAAGTGTTATGGTTGGAAAAAGTTTTTTCAGAGTTGTTTTGACAGCTGCTAATCCTTTCTTGCTTGTCATAGATTATACAGAATCTTAACTAACAGGTATCGTTCCTAAAGATTTACTGTATAATTTTGATTTCATGCAGGTGAGAACAAAAGCAAGTCAATATTCAACGTGGGAGAGATCACAAGACTGTTGAAGTTTCCAGGTGTGATGCGGACTTTTGTTGTGAAGATAATTGCAGGTTTACCATCAGGTGAGAGTTTCTGTGAGATTCCACAGAGAACACATGTGCTCTGTGTAAAGCACACACGTTTCTTCCCTCATACATCCTCTGTTCTCTGAAGTACTGCTCTTTTCTTTCCTCAGGGATTTTTCAAGTAATGTTCTCAATCATTGCAATGGAGTTCTTCAAGCTGAAACCCGAGCAGAACGGCTATCTGATGGCTTATTTTGGTATAACTTCAATGGTAAGTATCACGTCAAGTGAGTTTTTGCACTCATGATGCTATCTGTAAGACAAAGTCAATACATCCTGGGTGTTTGTTCAGGTTATTCAGGGAGGAGTGATCGGTCGGATGACTGCGAGATACTCTGAGGGCTCGCTGCTGCTTCTGTCCATAGGAATGTCTTCTTTGGTGGGACTTGCTCAGGTACACACACGCACAAATGCAAGGCTTATACTGTCATAGGCTGGGTGTATTTCAAAGACTAAAAAACGGCTTTGTTTCAGTTTGGTGAAACCAAATGATTCAATCTGTATGTTTTTTCCTTGTTTATCATTTCCTAATATCTTCCTTCATTTTGTATTTCTTCTACAATCATCCAATAGTGGTTGAAATATTTCACTTCAAGCAACAAGTCTGAACCTGCCAGTACTGCTAGAGCAGATAACCAAACTCATTAGACTTTATCTTCTGGGGATATCTTCTTTACCTCCTTCACCTCTTGCTCAGAAATGTTTTTATTTTATTTTGACTTATCTATTTTTTTCTTTCTTCAGGCTTACATGCAGAATGTGTTCCAGTTCTGCCTTACCGTCATCCCGATGATGTTTGCTCTCAGTACATTTAACGTCATCACAGACAGCATGCTCACCAAGAGTGTACCGTCCTCTGACACAGGTGAGCTCATCCTGCATCCTTTCTGCACAACATTCATAAAACCATTAACAGCAGGCACTCTTTCCATGGCTCACATTTCACATAGGGACATTCTGTTCACTTGATTTGTAACCAGATCTGATTACTGAGGCTTTAAACAATTTAAGGGAATGAAGTGTCATTTTACAGAATTCTAATCTCTTATGCTTCAGTGTCATGTGTTAAAAGCTCAAACCAAAAGAACAGAAAATAATCTGAAGAGTACAGGCCCACTTTTTGTAATCCAGTTGTTATTAAACCTGCTTTGCTCTTGTCCTCAGGCACGATGCTGGGGCTGTGTGCATCCGTCCAATCTCTTCTTCGTACAGTGGGACCGACGGTTGGTGGCTTCCTGTATGTGAACTACGGAGTTTCCTCCATAGGCCTTATCCAGTTTGTCGTGAATATAGCTGTGTTTGTGTACCTGCTGCAGCGCCACTTCACAAAGACAGCCAAGCAAAAGGAATGACATATTTTAGTTTTAAAAAAAACTTATTTTTCGTATCCAATTCATCCACCAACTGATAGAGGAGCTGGAAATTCAAGGTTAGATTTTTAGGGACAATCATCTCTACATGTGCATATATTCAATTAAATCTGTCGCCGGTGTTTACATGATGAGATAAGGTCAAGCCTTTCCACTCCTCCATTACTCAGATTTAGCTGCTGGTTAATCTTTGGTGGAGATGCAGGACTCAACCACTAGATGGCAGCAAGCCCTTAATTTTACCAGATGATGCTGTTGTGTTCCATCATTCACATTAGGTCAAATCACTTTTAAACACACTTTAAAATCCGTTACAGATTTTATCAAAAGTAATCAAAAACGATTAAATATTAGACATATCACCTAACTCCTAATAGAACACAGTTATATCAGATTTTTTTTTCAAAGTTTATTTTCTTATTGGTCATTATTGGTTAATAAATATTAAAAATATATAAATATATTTTTGTACATTTCTTTATTAAAAAGCATAAATGCATTATAACAGAATTTTGCAATTCACTTCATCTTAATAACTGCTGTTTTAACTCACTTGACAGTTTAAGTGTCTCATGATGGTCAAAATACTTTTTTGCGTGAATAAACATTTGGCAGAAACATTTAATATATCTGTAATTTGAATAGTCCTGTACATAATATAATGTATATTGTCAAAACATTTCAGCCTTTTCAGCATAGTGACAACAGACCGGCCATTAAAAAGCCCCGGCAACTTTTACCCTTCTATTAATACTATGGAATTAGACTGGATTTATTTCATGGTTTTCATATATATATATATATATATATATATATATATATATGGGGGATCTTGACAGACAATCAGTATCTCGTCAGCGAGTTGTTAGCTTAGTTAGTTTCACCAAAAGAGATTCCCCTTTAAACTTCTCAGGTAGTTTCATTTGTATAACTGCCTGAGGACCAAAGAGGTAAAACAAACCAGTATTCACAAAGGAATCTTAAAAAATGAAAAAGGTATTGTCCATTTGATCTTTTTTTGTTCTTCTTTCTTCTTTAATTAATCACCATATGTCTATTTTAGGATCCTTATGACGGGAAATAATGAACTACCTAACTGTTAATAAAGTACAATAGATTAATTACCCTATTTAAGTTATAATGCATATAATCAAATAATGTAAACTATATTCATTTATCAGTTACAGTAGGCATTTATCTCAAGAATAAGTACTTAAATATTATTTTAAACAGGAATTTTACTTGTAATCTAGTACTTTTTGTATTGGTACTGTTACTTAAAAAAAGGATAGAAATATTCACAACACAATGCTAATACTTATTAACAGATATTACACTGAACAAAAATATAAATGCAACACTTTTGTTTTTGCTCCCATTTTTCATGAGATGAACTCAAAGATCTAAAACATTTTCTATATACACAAAATAACCATTTCTCTCAAATATTGTTCACAAATCTGAAAAATATCTGTGATAGCGAGCACTTCTCCTTTGCCGAGATAATCCATCCCACCTCACAGGTGTGGCATATCAAGATGCTGATTAGACAGCATTATTATTGCACAGGTGTGCCTTAGGCTGGCCACAATAAAAGGCCACTCTAAATGTTCAGTTTTCTCACACAGCACAATGCCACAGATGTCGCAAGTTATGAGGGAGCGTGCCCGTGAATTGAATGTTCATTTCTCTACCATAAGCCGTCTCCAAAGGCGTTTCAGAGAATTTGGCAGTACATCCAACCGGCCTCACAACCGCAGAACACCAGCATGTTCACCTCCAAGATTGTCTGAGACCAGCCACTCGGACAGCTGCTGCAACAATCGGTTTGCATAACAAAAGAATTTCTGCACAAACTGTCAGAAACCGTCTCAGAGAAGCTCATCTGCATGCTCGTCGTCCTCATCGGGGTCTCGACCTGACTCCGGTTCGTCGTCGTAACCGACTTGATTGGGCAAATGCTCACATTCGATGGCGTCTGGCACGTTGGAGAGGTGTTCTCTTCACGGATGAATCCCGGTTTTCACTGTTCAGGGTAGATGGCAGACAGCGTGTGTGGCGTCGTGTGGGTGAGCGGTTTTCTGATGTCAATGTTGTGAATCGAGTGGCCCATGGTGGTGGTGGGGTTATGGTATGGGCAGGCGTATGTTATGGACGACGAACACAGGTGTATTTTATTGATGGCATTGTGAATGCACAGAGATACCGTGACGAGATCCTGAGGCCCATTGTTGTGCCATTCATCCACGACCATCACCTCATGTTGCAGCATGATAATGCACGGCCCCATGTTGCAAGGATCTGTACACAATTCCTGGAGGCTGAAAACATCCCAGTTCTTGCATGGCCAGCATACTCACCGGACATGTCACCCATTGAGCATGTTTGGGATGCTCTGGATCGGCATATACGACAGCGTGTTCCAGATCCTGCCAATATCCAGCAACTTCGCACAGCCATTGAAGAGGAGTGGACCAACATTCCACAGGCCACAATCAACAACCTGATCAACTCTATGCGAAGGAGATGTGTTGCACTGCGTGAGGCAAATGGTGGTCACACCAGATACTGACTGGTTTTCGGACCCCCCCCAGACCCCCCCAATAAAGCAAAACTGCACGTTTCAGAGTGGCCTTTTATTGTGGCCAGCCTAAGGCACACCTGTGCAATAATCATGCTGTCTAATCAGCATCTTGATATGCCACACCTGTGAGGCGCGATGGATTATTCAAACGGCGGTCCCCTTTCAAACAGCGGTCTGCTGACTCACGTAGGTCCTGTCTTCGTTGGTCCTGTCCTGTTGTCAGCGGAGGCCCCCTCCCACCTGTTGAGTGCGGCTGTGCTTGGGTGGTGCTGTGCGGAGGAGGATTCGCCACAGCTGGGGCTTGCTTTCCACCTTTCCTGGCTTCGGTGTGGCTGAGGAGGAGGGTTCTTGCCCGGGGAACATCGGAGAATGGCACATGTCATGTTTCTGCTGTGCCTGTTTGCTGTTTTGGACTGTGGGAAGATCTCTAGTAATCCTGAGAGGTCTACTGGATTCGGATATGTTCTGCTACCCGCGGTGGGCATCCCCTGCGGAGGTTCAGATGTGCTGCACAAACAATTGCCGGTTGCCTTGTCGCGGACAATCTGCTCGACAAAATATGTTTGTCTTTTTTGTTTGCCTGCTATGATGGTTCTTCAGGACTGCTTCTTAAGCTCTAATCACACTTTCACAGACTTTGCTGGTGATTCTAGAGAAGATGACGGTGTATGTGTGTCGTTTAAGAGGAAAAGATGCCTGTTTTTTTTGTTGCTATTGCTGTCAGGAAATGTACAACCTAACCCTGGTCCGCCCAGTAGTGGTAGTCAGATCGCTACTCCTGCTGATTTTAAAGCTAGGTCTGGGTTGGGTTTCATCCATTTGAATGTGCGCAGTCTGTTAGGTAAACTAGATTTTGTCCGCATCTGGGCGAGCTCGACTGACGCTGACGTCATTGTTTTATCAGAAACATGGCTAAACAAATCTATTTTGGCCTCTGACATTGCCTTAAATGGTTATAATGTGTATCGTACCGACCGGCCTAATAAAGGTGGTGGCGTTGCCATTTATGTTAAGAATAAGTTCAGTGTAACCACATTAGTTTCCAAATCGATCAGTAAGCAATTTGAATTTTTAGCCATAAATATAGAAGTGGCAAAGGGTCAACAGGTCATGGTAGTGAGTTGTTACAGACCCCCCTCAGCTGTCAAAGACTCCTTGTCTTCACTAGCAAATCTTTTATCACAACTAGACTACAAGGAAATAGTGCTACTTGGAGATTTTAACTGGGACTGGTTAACTGCAGTGTCAGAGGATTTTAAAAACCTTTGTATCTCTTTAAATGTTACTCAGATTGTTGACAGTCCTACTCGCCCTATCATTAAGTCCCCTAATAAATCCTCCCTAATTGATCTCATTTTAACTAATGTTCCCCATAAATATTCATCTGTGGGAGTATTTGCAAATGATCTGAGTGATCACTGTGTTGTAGCCACAATTAGGGACACTAAGGTCCAAAAGGTTAAACCTCGCATTATCATTAAGAGAGACAAAAAACATTTTGTGGAGCAGGGTTTTGTGCATGATCTGTTTGATTTTGATTGGGGTAAAATCGATCTGTGTGCTGATGTAGAAACCGCATGGTCTTATTTTTATCTTGGTTTTATGGAGATCATTGATAGACATGCACCCCTGCGTAAATTTAGAGTAAAGGGACGAGACAATCCTTGGTTTTCTGCTAATCTGTCCAGTCTCCTTCATGAGAGAAACAAGGCCTGGGCTAAGGCTAGGAAATCAGGCTCAGAGGTAGAGTGGCTGCGTTTTAGGCAGCTAAGAAATAGCTTCACTTCACATATCAAAAGTGCTAAATCAAAGTACTATCTGTCAGTAACCACAAAGAATCTGAATAATCCTGACATTTTTTGGAAAGCCATTAAATCGATATCCACCGGCGATATCCGTAATGAGCTACCTCCGTGCATTACCACAGCATCTGGCTCTATATCGGACAGGGCTACTATGCTAAATTGCTTTAATGAGCATTTTGTGTCCTGTGGTTCTCTATTTGATTCTGTCACTAACTCTGCTTCTGTGAACACTACAGTATGTGACTCTGAAAAACATGTGTTGGAAAACCCTTTTAGTTTTACCCCTTTTACTGTTGATGTTGTTCGTGAAGCTTTAACCAAGTTAGATCCTAAGAAACTGGCTGGCCCGGACAACGTAGAACCTTTCTTTTTAAAGATAGCTGCAGATTGTATTGCTCCACCTCTCACTACTCTTTTTAATCTCTCCCTCAGCACTAACACAATTCCAAAATTGTGGAAGTCAGCTTATGTCCTGCCTTTGCTAAAAGGAGGGGAGGCCACCTTATTAAATAACTATCGGCCAATCTCTAAGTTGTCAGTTCTGGCTAAGGTTCTTGAGTGAGTGAACAGGTAAAGGTGTTTTTATGTACAAATGACATCCTGTCTAAACATCAGTCAGGCTTCAGAAAGCAACATAGCACCATCACTGCCACAATGAAAGTGGTGAATGACATTACGAGTATTTTAGATAATAAGCAGAGTTGTGCAGCTCTATTTGTTGACCTTTTAAAAGCGTTTGACACCGTCGATCATCGCATCTTAAAGCAGAGGCTAGCCAGTATAGGCATGTCCAGCCATGCAGTAGGGTCAGTGGCGTTTTATATGTACAAAAGTGGTGGGGCACAAAAAACTTAGATGTCTATAAGCTTCTGCAGTGAGGTTCATGGCTGGTGAGGCACTGGCACTGACTCTTCAGGTTTCCAAATATTATATTTTGACCTAAATCAAAATATAATATTATTTTCAAAAGCTTTTTTTGTCTGAT